GAGGATGGAGCGGATACAGGTTTTGTAGAGCCAGATTTTTAGTTCTGTGGGAAGTGGGCTATTTCATGCTAGAAGTAGTGGGTATAGTGTGCGGAGTGCTCCCATGCCTTTGCAAGCCTTATCTTTGGACTTGTATTGCCATTTTAGTTTGTTGTCGAACCATATGTCCAGGTATTTAACTTTAGGGGGCCAGTTAATGGGGTGGTTATCTATTGTGAGAGTGTCGGACTTGTGGAGTCTTTTGGGGGTGAAGATAGTAGCTTCTGTTTTTGTGGAGTTTATTGTCAGTTTCCAAGTGGAATTGTAGGATGTGATCGAGGTGGTTTTGAGTGTATTTGATTGCCTGGTTTATTTTCCACGAGGAGGAGTATACTACGGCGTCATCTGCGTAGAGGGCTAGTTTGGTGTTGGGATCTTTGGGGATGTCGTTTATGAATATATTGAATAGGATGGGTCCCAGGACTGATCCCTGTGGTACCCAAGTATACAGGGTGGTCCACGCAATTGTTACAAGTCATAACTCCGTTATTATTGCATTTACGCAAAAATGCCAAAGGAGAAAGATAAATGGTTCGAAGAGCACTACATCTGTAGGCCTTTAAATTTTTTTTAGATGCAGCAGTGCATGTGCAATTAACAATTGCATCATTTCTTTAAATAGAAATGCATATTTTTTTTTACACAGATCGATTCGTCTGTTCACTCTACGTAAAAAATGATTAGGGTACCATGGCAGAAAAATTATTAGATCTCGAGATATTTTCAAAAAATGTCTTTATTGAAGAAGATGCTCAAACGCTTCTCCATTACATTCTAAACATTTCTGATAACGTTTTTTTATTGTTTGCATAACTGCGTTTAAATTATCTGCAGTTATTGCTGCACATTCCAGTATGATTCTTTCTCTTAGAATCTCTACAGAATCTATGGGATTTGAATAAATTCTATCTTTCAAATAACCCCACAGAAAAAAGTCAACGGGACTTAAATCAGGTGAACGGGCTGGCCAACGTATTGATGTATTTGTTGTGATAACGTTATTGCAAAACTTATTTTTTAGAAACCTCACTTTTTCAAATTCTTAGTTTTCGTACTCGAGTTACGATATGTGAATTGCTACTGAATGATGAAATGCTTATTCGTACAAATCAGTTTCTGTTATGATAACACTGTCGAAAGGGTGTTTACCTTTACAACATAGTCATGAAGTGTTTGAGTATCTTCTTCAGTAAAGACATTTTTTGAAAATATCTCGAGATCTAATAATTTTGTTGCCATGGTACCCTAATCGTTTTATACGTGGAATGAACAGAATAATCGATCTGTGTAAAAAAAAATATGCATTTCTATTTAAAGAAATGATGCAATTGTTAATTGCGCATGCACTGCTGCATCTAAAAAAAATTTAAAGGCCTACAAATGTAGTGCTCTTCGAACCATTTATCTTTCTCCTTTGGCATTTTTGTGTAAATGCAATAATAACGGAGTTATGACTTGTAACAATTGCGTGGACCACCCTGTATAGTAGTCTGGGAGACTGTAATGTATCTGTCAGTGAGGTAGCTGTAAACTATTTTAATTAGATGTGTGTTGAGGTTAATTTGGTGGAGTTTAAGGAAGAGACCATTGTGCCAGACTTATATTGGGAAGATATTGGGAAGTCGTTCGAGGAATGTATACATGGCAACCGAGGTGTTGGTCGAGCGCTTGTGAGAGTGCGACCCCTCTGGTGGCGAGCATGGGATGCGACGCCAGAGTAGTAATCTATGAGGAATTACGCCAGTAGAAACGAGGAATAATGGTCAGGCAGAGTAGAAGAATCGCGTTCGATCTACTTCATAAATTTTTTATATCAATTTTCTCGAGAAGTCCGATGTATAGAAATTGTGTTCCACTTTTGTAAAATCAAAGGTCAACTGTTTTGGTAGATGAAATTCTCGTGAGCAGCAGTGTACGCCTAGAATTATATCAGACACGGTTATCACTTTAATACTGCATAAGCTTGGCTTTCCGTTTCAGAGATACAGCATGTGAGTTTAGGTTTATACGATAAAAAGAGAGACTCAGCAATGAGATACCCAAGTGGTACGGTAGGAATACCTCCTCAGTGGCCCTGAGAGGCCATTTATGTTTCTCTGGCTATACCGCCATTCAAAAGTTTAGAGCAACCATCGATCTTTATAGAAGTACAGAATTTTTATATTCGTACACTTGCAGTGAAAGAAAAAAATTGCATCTCAAGTTAACACGAAGCATCCAATTTGATCATTTGCTAAAATAACATAATAATTTTTGAAAGTATCAGAGTATTGGAAGTATTGTTCGAAACATCATTGCGATTCGTGGTTATTGCGCGTATCGTTTGACATTTATCAAAAGCTAATAATTTTACGATAGTTTCGAAAGAAGAAAGTTCGCGAAGTACTATTTACGAGCACATGTTTTACCGAAACTTTCCCACTGAAAATACCATATTTTACCCTATTGGAAGCCACTGTTCCTTCGATTGAAGAATATTCTATTGGAGACCCGGGGATGCATTTCGGTGAAAAGTTCAAAGCAAAATCGTTTCTATTTTGCCTTTTCCGGCGAGGACCCAATGATTTATAGACGGAACGAACGATAACTTCGGGAACTTGGAAACATTAACGTTCGCGAAAAGTTCGACTAACTGATCAGCGACAATCGATCGACCCGCATTGCTGTTCCACGTCTGGCGACGACAAAAAGGCTCGTGGGTTTTTCGCGTTCGATTCGTTAACGGATGGCACGAAACGACGTCAAAGGAACGGAAGGGAACGCGAAACTCGATTTACATTCTACAGATATACATGCGTAAACTATATTAAACGGCTGAAATAAACGATACGACGTAAATTATGTTTTCATTACGAATTGTATAGGAAGAACAATAGCTAAAAAACGAAGTGCAACACGTCGAACGTATTTTTGCCAGAGGACCAATTTGCACTTTGACGTCATGCCACGAGTTAACGGAAATGCAATTATTTTAGAACACTCAAAAATATTGTATAAACCATTTCTCTGTTACATCGATGAAAGTCTTTACACAGTCAAATTCAAAAGGAAACAATAATTTTTGCGAATGTAAACAGAATAGTGAATTCCTCTATTTGTATCGTAACCAGCCTAATCTTCGAATATTCGAACAGTCCCAGCAGTAATCGTAACGCTAAATTCTCGAATATTTCATACAGCCTCGAAACTCAGCTTCCGAAAGGTGAAATCCAAAATGGGATTCCATCTAGCTCCCGGAATGGCTTATTCTGCGTTTCTCGACGAGACGATTTTCCACATTTCTGAGCGCCTCAGCCGCGTACAGGGGATGCGATTATTATCCTTAAATCGCAGACAGATAGTTTCGACGAGTGCTTCTTGGAAATTTACGAGTGCGCCGCGTCGCTCCAAGTACCGACGAGTTTTCGCGGACGCGTTCGTTCCGCGGAGTGGCCATGATTTACGCGGTTATTATAGATACAAGACGTAGTCTAATGTGATATTCATACGCTGTAAAAGTTTTTACATTGCACCCTTACCCCCCCTTTTCTCCCTTTACCCCCTTTACGCTCGCGTCTACGTCGACGGGTGTTTCCTCTTCCTTTATCTTTTTATACGACGCGCGATACGAGAATGCACACGATCCCAGAGCGTTTCACTGCGCGCTTTAAGCAGGTGTATATTATTATACGAATGAGGTAAATACTATAGCTGTACGAGACGAGGCGCATTTGAATCGCGAAAGTATAATAAAACGATACGTTAACGACGACCGCGGTCTGGTAAATTGTGACAACTAAATCCCACTTTTCGCTGCTCGGCTGTCGCATATCGGGCCAAGATTGAGACGCTTCGAATATTTCGTAAGTATTCAAATCCCACAAATATATTTTCGGTATTTGAATAGCAATATTTAAATATTTTAATATCTGACCGTCGCTATTCGAATATTATTTGAATTTTATTTTTACTCGAACAATTGACATTAATTGTCACGGTATTGAAAAGTATACATTATACTGTTCAAATACTTTCTGCAATAAATATTCAATATTCAATATAAAAAAAATCATTATAGACCATAATGCTGCCATTTGTGGTACTGTCGCGTACCACACATTAACTTGGGACTAAAGTAAAATGTTTCATTCGCCTACTAGAGTAGAGGCGACAGAGAAGAATTTCGATAATTTGGAAAGTTCAAGCAAGGAAGAGTGTACTTATGTTCTAATTTATTACGGCTACAACCTCAAACCCCCTGGTGCTAAAACGCCCAAGTTTGTCGTGGAATAGTTCCTTACCTTCAACGCTAGATGGCGCTTATTTAACGACCTTGTGGCGACAGGTGCGTTTTCTGTCGCGAGGTTGAGCTCTACTTTACCGATTAAAGGGTTGAAGTTAGGGTTGTTATAAGAAAAAGTTAATGTTAATGTTTTTTGTTTTTGATCCCTAGGAGACGGCCAGGAGTTTGTTTAATAGTTATAAGAATAAACTCGGAGTTCTCAAGATATTCAAAAGAGTCGTACATATGTTCTAATTTATTACCTAACGTCAAATATGCACGTTCTTTTTTTTCAATATGTAAAATTGACGTGTCGGTTTTCAGTTGTTCAAGAGCGAGAAGGCAAGTGTGAGCCTTCTTCTCTCGACTCCCACGAGGCGGTTCGAAATTACTTCGGGCAGCTTCGGAGAATCGAGAAAGAGGGCATGCGTCAGTTTGTCTTTGTCGACTTTCCGAAACTCCACGAGCTCACGTACGCGTGATCTGGCATAGTGTGAGTAGTGCACCCGGTGCTCAATCTGGCATCACTGCCCGGGGCTCCGTCTGTCATGTTTGTACAGCCGGGATCCTCATTCAAAGTACGTTTGTTTGGTTAGTTTGTTTACAAGTTTTTTAAATTGTATATAACGCAATGCGTTTTATTAACGAAAGGCCAAGAACGCTTTATTGCTGTGTGGGAGTGTTTGTGCGTCGATCGCAACGTTAAAGTTTACGTCTTTCTCTCAGTATTAAATGACAAATGTAGCAAACCTAAAACTGTAAACTGTCGTTTAGATCGCTTGCTTTTTTTAAACATGTGGAGGGATGTGTAAATACTGTGTAAATAGTTGTACATTTCTACGAAACGTACGATAATTGGATTTGATTTGCTTTGGGTGAGAGAAAATTCAAATGGATGATGAGCGATTCTGATGATACCGATGTTTTACTCCTAATTCCGCCTGACCTATTCCTTGTACCATCATCAGACTCTGATGCCAATTCTGATCGCGGGAAAGCAGATTATAGCAGTGGGAAAACAGGAGTAATATCGGAACTTGTGGAGCATATGCAATCGTTAGAAAACAGAATAACTGCTATTGAATTTAAAGATACTAGCTTAGATGATACTTTGCTAAATAATTCGTTGGAATCACAAATTCACAATAACCCAGTTGTCAAGTTTAGACAGACATTACCTAGAACTAATCTCTATGTAAGTCAGAGCTGTAGCTTACAAAATACACCTGTGAAGCCTCGAAAATCCTTGTCTGTTCCAACAACTCCTAATAGTTACTCATTGTCAAACCACACTAATTTTAATCAGAATGACATGAAATTGGGGAATTGTTTTCCTATGGCTACTGGTACTAATACATCTAATGTTAATGATCATGATAAGGATAAGCACGATCATCTAATATCCCATTCTGAATCCTCTGTGGTATTACCTTCTGATTCTCGCAGTGTGGGTTTCTCGCATGCCACTGGTACTTCTACCAAAGGGGAACTTTGCTCTTATCCTCTAAAGCATTGTAAAACTACAAGTAATATGTACGTTAAACCTTCTACCAATCAATTACATTCAATGCCATCTACCTCAACTTTATTTAGCGTAACGGGACAACCGCATTTGTGCTCTAAAACTAGTATACAAAATATGGAGCTCTCTGAAGTGAATGAACTACTTCAAGAAATGGAGGCTACCGAATTAGAGCTATCAAAACGAATAAATAGTGTCTCGAAACATCAGTGTCGCAGAGAACAAAGTGATACGTTAATATCAAACCACAGCAACAATGCTTCTACTAGCAAAATTAACAATGATACACGTAAAAATTCTATTAATCGAAAATTGGAGTTTGAATTAGAAGACTCGAATGAATATTGTGATATCAGACCAATTGTATCCAAAAATATGTGTTCAAATGTTTTCCCTGATATATCTCTACCATACAATAGTTCATTTAATTTTGACGAGAGTGAGAAAATAATCTCAGAATTTAAATTATGGGGACAAAATGGACAGAAACCAACATTAAAAACTGAAGAGGTAGAAAATATAAGTGCATTAAAAAATGCAAATAATATTGATAAATTGATTGTGAATGGAAGTAATATAAAAAGAAAAGAATCAGTTATTAAACAAATTCCCTTGTGCGCAGATGATGTAAATAGTGTAAATGCAACTGCTGGTTATAATGTACAACCACATACTGCGCATAAAAATGTAGAATCTTCGTTGCTTAGTGATTTAGCACAATATACTAGTTCTCAACAAAGTAACAGTGTACAGCAAATGAAACAAATGCACAATGGAATGTGTACTAAGAGCATTGCTCATGCTTCAACAAATACAGACTGTTTTCCGAGGTATTTTTATTATAATTATAAATGAATTATCTTGTATGATGTATATCTATTGCCCTACATTTATGAGAAGATTTTATAGCTATTTATATTCTTTCCAGAAAATCACAAAGACTTTTGTCATTATCAGATTTCTGGGATAACAATAGCAATAAATCGCAAGAAGAAATGCGTCGAATTAAATTAGAAGAAGAAAAATTTCGCCGAGAGGTAAGTCAAATCTATATGAACGCGTTTTCATTACTAATCAATTTACGTAATTAGTAATATAAAATTCTACAGCATTGCGAACACTTAATTCAAGAGCTCCAAAAACGATTGTTAGAGCAACAAGAGAAGGTTGCAGTAGCACTTAGAGTAGACAATGAAAAGAACGAGTTGATCGCGCAATTTAATAATGCATGGTCAAAGCTGAAACAACGCGTTCATATTTTAGAAAATGAATACAGTGCTTTACAGACAAATATGAGAAATACAACAGAGAAGCATCAGTTAGAAATTTCAGAATTGCAATCACACATTAAACGTTGTGAAGGGGAATTATCAAAAGCTTTAGATCTAGCAGCTGGGTACAAAGAAAAAAGTGATTCGGTGATGAAGGAAAAGGTAGAGTTATTAAAAAGTCATGCTGATGAATTAGAGAATTATAAATCATTTGTACTAGAAGCAGAAACGAAATGTGAGCAAATAAAAGTGGAGAACAATAAAATATTAGAGGAAAAGAGGCAAATTGAAGAAACATTAAAAAGTCTTCAACAAGAATTGGGCAAAGAGAGATTAAAAGGTGGAGAAGTTAGAAATGAAATGAATGTTATTCATAAAGCATTAGATACTTGCGAGACAGAACTAACTGTACTAAGGCAAGTGAAAGAAAGTTTACAGTTGAAATTGAAGGAAGAGATAGATAGGAATGCAATTTTACAACAAAAACATGCTACACTACTTTTGTCAGTCGATGATGCTAAAAAAGCAGAGGTAGTTTATTAATCAGCGTTTCGTTGCATCCATGAATATTTTATTTATTGATTTGCCAACTATATTTTGCAGAAAGAGGCCAAAGATGAAACAAAATCTCTTGTGGAAGAGAAAGAAAAAATTAGGTCAGAATTACAAGAGGTTTACCAAAAACAAGTTGATGAAGTAGTGAAAGTTAAGTTAAGAGAATTTCAAGCTCAGCTTGATGTCGCTGAGTCTGAATTTCTTGAAGAATTAAAAACTCGGCAACAAGTTATTGCTGAATGTGCAGCCAGAAAAATTAAAGATATTATAGATAAGTATGTTCCCTCTTTCTTTAAGTATACCTTATAAATGTGTATTGTATATAAGCACCGTGTACAATACAATTATTAAATTATCCAGACATCGATTAGAAATAAATTTACTAGAAGAAAAACAAAAGGAAGAGAAACGGCTATGCGAACTTCAGTTAGCGCAAGCTTTACAAAAATCGTCGATTTTAGAAACGGAACTTCATTCTCAACGCGCTACTAAATCTCAGCTCGCAGAACAGCTTCATTCTGTAATGCAGAAACAATGGCTTCAAGCCTTACAAATTATATCAGGTGAAGTCATCCGATCGACTTTTATTAATAATACGATACTTTGATTAGGGTTAGCTCTACTAATAGCATAACCTCTCAGGTGGAAATATGGAAGATTTGACGCCTCTTCAAAAAATTCACGCTGAGAGATTGTTCAAGGCCCCTAAAAAATCCGAATCGATGCCAAATTGTTTCGCAAAGGTTTTTCAAGAACCAAGTAAATTAACATTGCAACCCTCGGATATAAAAAATTTTCACGATCAAGGCGAAAGTATGAGTACTATCACCCCGATCGACGATACTCCACTAACAAGTAGAAAGGAGTTAAAAGATGATCTTCGTAAATATGTAAAAATGGTAAAATTTGTTTGAAGAGAAGTATTATTTCGCGGTTAATATAAAAACTATTACGCTACTGAGATATTTTGCAGATCGCCGAGATGCAACAGTCGAGGGACGAATATTTAAAAATTAGAGAAAGCATTTCAAGCCCGCCATTGATTTGCAGAGAGGTACCACGGAAGCACTATTTGAAAAAAGAACTAAGCATAAAGGACGAAGACAGTATTATGACATGGCAACCTGCTCCATCAGAGGTAATTTGATCACTAATAATTTACGGTATGATTTTAATAACATAATAGTATTTTTTAGACTACACCGGACACTAGCGAATTCATTCCAGCTTCACAAGTTTGTACAAAGGGGGATCAACTGAAACATAAACCACCGTGGAAATGACCCACTACTTCTAGTTCGATAAATATCGATTACGGTATCGATGAAGTGGACCATATCGATATATTGCATTTACTTAGCCATACTTAAGATATATCTACGACACATATTTTTTATTCGAATAAAGTGAATTTTATACATAAATATAATAAAATAAAAAATGAATATTGTTGTTTTTTGTTATTTAATCCCATTCTCCCATTCTCTTAAATAACTGACTAAACCATTCATTAGTTCGTTCTTGTTACTACCGCATAGAGGAAAAGGATGTTCGATAAAGAATGATAAGCGGTGTATCTGCTTTTTTAGATTAGACTTAATTTATGTATGCTCGTTTTGGAACGCTTCAGACGACGGCATTACCTCACACTGTACGCGATAAGCGTATTTTTATGAGCAAATACAATTTATGTTACGCGGATGCAATGCAAATTATTAAGATAATACAGAACAAATGAAATTTGAACATTTTGAACTTTTTACATTTAAGAGACGTTGAGTCACAGTTTAGTCTTATCTGATTTCCACGATTCGTCATCGTATTTAAATCCTGAAAAATGAATCACTATTGTGAGAGTTCCTCAAGACTTAGAATTATCTGAACGCAAACAGCACCCCGAAAATAGTATTCTACGCTATGAATTCTTGAATAATTGCATTTGGACAAATATTTCCAGTATTGCGTCACATATCGTGAATCACGAAAATGATAGGATTACTTACATATGTCGAACACGTTTCCGTGCGGCGAGATGGAATGTTGAAGTTATTCAGAGAACTGTTACTGAAATGTTTATCGATAACGTTTCCTGAATAGTAAGCGCGTGAAAGAGTAGAGAACATACGGCATTCGACTCTCAAGGCGCATACTAATTGCATACACATCAGTTTAAACGACAATTATGGCGCGTCTATCTCAATGAAAATCTAAAATGTCACGATTTGTTAAACTAAATGCTGTAGAATCTTACACATTAAATCATTAAATTCTAAAACTATTGTTTGCGATATATGTCTTGCAAGAGCTGGACGCTGTATTTTCAATTTATTGTACATTTATTATTAATAGGTAAAAAGGGTTAAGGACCAAATGGAGGCTTTCAAACATGCCTTGGAGCTCCATCTTTATCTAGAAATTGAGATTTCCCTTACAATTGTCGTAAAATATAATCGATCCAACTTGTTTCTCTCAGAGACCACATATGCATCCATTATTTTAAGGCATGCATATAGTACTGTAGCATGGTCGACGTTTATCTGCGAGTTCTCCAAAGGTTTTATGTGAATCTGACAAATCTAATACTTTATATACGTCTATCGAGATAAAACTTCACCTCGAAATTTTTATCTGAGCTTTTATTCGTGACGGGCGAGCACGTATGACGGATACCAATCGCTCTATCTAGATGATGGACCGGACAAAGATTTATTCGAAGTTGTTCGAGCGACGTCGAACTGCTAGCGGAATGATCGAGGCCTCGAGAGACAGCGTTTATCGATCACCGTTCATGGAAATAAACCTCGATGGGACTCCGACGGCCGTGTTCGTTCCCTTTTACCTTGAACGAAATGCGCGCGCTCCGGTGTGCAACGGGGTCTATAATAAAAAAAAGCCCAGCAAAGATACGAAGTCGTATGCACCGAGTGCGAGCGGGAGACGAAGCTGCCTAACAGTCGATGCCCTTCTTTAGCCGTGACAACGATCACGCCTACGATCCCGGGGCCCCGTACCGAGCTAAGTCCGGCGCCAGTTATGAGGATTCTACGCGCGACGAGCAGAACAAGTTGCCGATTGAAAACGAAAGAGCACCAAGAATGCAAAGGGAGGAACGTGATAGTGTGGCCGCCACCCCCTCTACGCTCGTTGCGAAGATAGTGGTAGCCGTGAGCGCGTCCGCTCTTCATTCTGCCCGGTTCCGTGGCCTTTAGTCACCCGACCGAACCAACCGGGCAAAGAGGCAAGAAGTTCCGCGTGCGCCAAGTGGCTGTAAGCCTGAATGCAGCTAGGAGAATGCAGCCCGGAACGAGATGTTCGAGATTCTGTTCGCCGATAATAGTGCTACTGCTGCTGGCCTGCGTGATAGACGATACTGGCGGCACTTGGAAAAGGCGGGAGGACAAGACCAAGTGCCCTAAAGTCAAGGGCATACGAAATTTTGACATATCCGAGGTATGGCGCGCGCGGTATTCAAACGATTGTCTCGCTCGGCCAACGTTTACATCAGTGTTTTCCAACGCGAGGTCTACGACCCACCAGGGGGGGGGGCAATTTTTAGTACTTTTTTGGGGGGGGGGAACAATCGATGAATTAGCTTGCATTCGTAGTACAGTCAAAAAGTTGTTTTTTTTTATTCCAACAGGCGTTACTTTCTTTGTGTCGTCAAAATTTTTAAGGTGAAGCTTGATTTTATAGTCTTAGATCACTTAATGTTATTGTTATTGGCCACAATACATTCGTGACAAACACGTTGATTTTCTGTCTCGTCAAAATTTTTCAGGGATTACAGATAGAGCTTGATTTCAAAGGCTTAGATCACTCAATATCATTGTTATTGGTCACAATAGATTCGTGGCAAACACGTTGGTATTCGCGATCGATTTTTGAATGTTCTCTCAACGATTCGGAGAAAATTTCTATGCAAAATCGAAATATGTATCGCTCGTTAATATTCTGACGTTACAAATAGACGATCACAACGGATATCCGATCAATCTGTGCGCTGAATGTATAATAATAATTGTGGAGAGCGCAATTGGAACGCAATTGTTGAATACTCTTCGCGTATTGCCGCGATAACAGAAATTACTATTTCCACCTCGATATCTGTCCAGCTTCCTTTGCATCTTTGACACAATTTTCGTCATGACTATTAATTTCATACGTGTAATTATTTTATAAAATTCGATCAGAATATTTGCCAAAACGTTATGACGTCTTCTGTCTAAATATCGATGCAAACTATTGTTTCGTTCAATACTGTAACGCCTGTACGACAGACAATGAATTTGCATAAAACATCGCGAACTTTATTTCAAAGGAAGGCTCCAGGCAACTTATTTTTGGCTCTTATGCGTGTTTAAGTGAAGGCTATTTCGAACTCTTACCTTCTGTGCATATAAAACTACTTGGTACCATCAAATACCTTTGTATTTCTTAATTTAAGCCCCGTTCACAGTCTTTATTATTCAATGGAGCTTGAGTACTGATTGATCATTTCTTTAGTGACTCATTTGTGTATTCAAATTGTTTCGTCTCTTTTAATTTTTAATCGACAGCACGTTTAAATTCGCAGTAAATAATAGTACCATATTTGTCAACCTTATTTCTGTTTATTCCATCTCTTTTTTCTTTGTATTTCCCATTTATTAATGTCTATACGATTTCTAAATAAAGTAAAACGTAAGTGACATTATTCGAACGAAAGTAATTTCTTGTTAAATGCTGAGTTACGTCTAAAAGCTTCTGCAGTCAAATCTATTAAAAAGTAATCAACAAAATGAAATTATGAAATTACTTATGCATTAGTGGAGGAAATTGTATTAGTACATTAAAAACTTATTTGCCGAAGAAAAAGGTTTAGAAAGAAAAGTTTTGATCGCGTTTAGTACCATCTTGGAAAAATGGCTTCTACATTCAAATGGAAATATTTAACTAATATCGTTAAAAAGTTCGTTTCACGTTTATTGATCAATTTTTCAAATATTTTTTTAACCTTTCCGCTGCCGAATTAATCAGTGGCATTTAATTTGTATCGTATTGGTACGTATTACTGATGTGATTAAATGTGTCAGATTATAATATACCAACTAGTTGCTGCTTAAGTGAACTTAAATGAGACAGTATCTACGATGACCATCGACAACACAAAACGATCGTTCATTCTTAATAGAGTGTAATCTTGGTCGACTCCTTTCCGATAATATGTATATGAACCGAACCGTTTCCATTGATAACCCAAAAGCCACTGACGTGATACGTATTCTTAATATGTTTTCGGAGCTTTGAAAGATACATATGTTATTTTGGTAAAATCTTACTTGTCATTTTATATGTAATTCAAATTATTGGCTCTTCATGGCTAGTAAAAATTTTAGAAGTACATCCTTGGAACTTATTGAGTTGCATTTATTGAACAATGAGTGCTAGTAATATGTAATAATATTGGTGACTTCACTTGTGATTTGTGAAATTGTAAAAATCAATTGTGCATTAAAAATTTACAAGATACAACTTGTTTAATGAAAATTTCTGAATTAATAGTAAGGTTGGTGAAAGATTTTGAGAATAAGCAAGATAAAAAATTAATAAAGAATTTTTGAAGTTATAACTTCTTAGCTAGGAAGCACTATTATTAATGCCCTATTGTTAGACGGAACTGATAACGGGAACGGGCTCCTAGAATCTCGTCACTTCGAGAAACAGCAAACTATGTATAGTTTACACGTATACGCGTATGTATACACGATGTGTGACATGCTACTCTAGCTAGTCTACCAAAAATAACTTCAGTATATTTCAATATTCAGGTTATTAGAACTTTACGTATGTCGAGTTGTCGAATGGTCAGTAACGTAATCATTTCTCTTTATAAATACTATATTATATCAATTTATAACAAAGATTAGCAGAGTCAGGAAAGTACATACGCGGGTTTAATATAAATTGAAGATTAATTTTTTAAAAGCAACTAAACGAATGAAATGTAGTTTCGTCGATAATGTTGGTGCACCCATTTCATAAAAGAACAACGCTTGCATATATCGATTTATATTTTGCTTCCGTGTCGTACACAAATGCGCGTCATTAATAATTACGGACTACCAAGCATGTAGGAACAACGAGTATATTATATATACATATGTACAATTTTCATTTAAAGTAACTAATACAATTTTTAATTGAATCCCGTCGGGATTATGGCTTAATGATTGTTTCATATTCTCATTTGCATATCCCCCGATATATTATTAAAATGTTAATGCCATAATAGGATTTCAAAATTATGTTTCGCGTATCTGCATCGTATAATAAAATTTCAATTTACCACGATCTCATTGATAACTCAGTATGTTTACTCGAAAATTGTACAAATACCCTGAACATTAGTTCGACAAAATATTGGAATAAATTTTTTCAGAAGAGTATTTTCGAACGTGATAAAAGGGGATGGTGTAGAATCAAAATCATGTGAATTTAGCGTGACGAAATTTTCGAACGGTACCTATTTGGAAAAATATGTTACCAAGGTTGACCATTGATTTTCTCGTTTATTAAAGAACGTTTAGGATGAGTTCTCAATGTCTGCATCGCGGTGCAGCAGGTCGAACGTACCGTGGATGTATCGATTAACGTTTCTACGTGAACAACGGGACAATTAGGCGCGAATACCTACGCGGATTTCCCGTGAAGTTACCGTTCCGCGTTACAGCAACAAATAACATCTATTTCTTGCAGTTCCTTGGGTCGTGGTACATAGTGCAGTATTATGCAAGCTCAGAAGAGGCACTCGCGTACAGATGCATGCGAGCCGAACTTTCAATTTCGTCCGAAAGCACGGAAGTCACGATGAATTTCACTTACAGTTTTACGGACGATCCGATCAACGAACAACTCGTTGGTAACATCACCTGGAAAATTCCATCGTCCGAACTACCTGCCCACTGGGTGCACGCCGAGTATCCATGTAAGTTCTAAATATATTTTCAAAAATTCTTACACGATGTTCGCATATACGATCATAAGTGAATTTCAAATTAATATTGAATTGTTACAGTGATGATAAAAAATAAACAACAAATGAGGTATAGTCCTTGCAAGCATACATGTATTTCTTTAAAATAAAATTATTTTCGTCTATCTACACGAAGTCGAAAATTTTACGTACGAAATTTAATTTTAATTTCAATGTATACGTGTATTATTGTAACACCTGTACTTCATTTGTATTAAAAATGAAAGCAGAATTGCTACTGATTTTAATTTAATAATAATTTACTGACCGGTTGTAATATTCTAATAAGCAGTCTAATAACGCGTATTAAAAGTATTAAAACTTTACACGCGTACAGTTCCGAAGCTAATTATGTTTTCTACATAATTGAGCCACTGTTAGAAGCTGCAAAGCTTCCCCTTTGAAACGGTTTTTGGTTTATGTCGATCTGGCTTTTCGTTTTGGAAATATCTTAATTGAAACGAAGGGGTAATTTTTTTAATTCGACTATTTTTGTCTCCGTCTAACGCGTCGGACTTCTCTCTCTCTCACACGTGAGTCGCGACAGTCGTGACCAGGAAGTTGTAGTATTTCCAAGAATTTACTATTTAAGCGTGAGGTCAATGACCTAAGGAATGAAACGTAAACAAATGTTTCAAACCCTTATATCTCCGGAACTAAGTACGCTATAGACTTGTATGGACACTCGTTCTAAGAGGTATTTCACCCCCTAATGAATATGACTACTATAATTTATGCTGTCCTCTATGTTTATTTTGAAATTTACTTTGGTGCTATGTATCAAAAGAAGTTTTAGCTATTCCTATTAATTATTGTAAAACTAATTAACTTTATTGGATTTTGATTCAATTTTCAATGATGCTCTTAGAATATTATCTCGGTAATAATGTCACGTAGTCTTGGAATCATGCTGATCGATAAATCGGTAACATCTTGATTCAGTTGCTTTCAGTAAGCAAAGAAAGAAGTCTGAATTATTGAATAGAAGCTAATCCTGGCACATACAAGGTATAAAGTAGATTTAGCATCGAGTCGAAGTTACTGTCACATGTCACGGAGAACTTTAAAATCCCTTACTATTTTCGTGTTTCATTCAATATTTCTGATTCGGTTTAGAAAATGATTGCACCGCTATTAGTGATAAGACTTAAAGTTACGTAGGATTGTTTTGATAGTAATCAAAATTTGAGATATTATAGAGATATATAGAACATAAAATGTTTTTTAGATCACTGATATAATTTAAAATTTGTTGTATACGAAGACCCATCCAATTAATATCTTATCCACCCTCCGTTTATAGAAAATTTTATTATCTTTAACCTACGTTTAAGAAAAACCTGCCTGTAAAAGACTAACCATAACGAAATTCTATGTGGACACGATTTACATAAATTAAATTATTCTACTTAAATGCTAATTACGCCTGCCTATACAAGTGCTCGTAATTTGTAATTAGTAGCAGCCTGCATGAAATGGTGCATGCACGCAGCCTGCATGTGATTGGTAATGTACCTAATTAAATACCGCAGTGTTTATTTTCTATCCTATCAAAAACTAAAAGGCCACCAACCTGTTTAAATAAATACTTAATACTACGTGTGTCTTTCTTTTTTTTATAAAAAACAAAGATTTAAATATATCAAGGTGGTCTAACATCTTATGTTGGCATTTTTCTACGAGCAAATTACTTGCGTCCAGCTCGTATACTCCGAACATTAGCATCGCAAGTATCGTGCATCAAACAGTAATTAAAGTGGTTTGTTCTCATTCAATTAGATACATGTCGTTTATTAATTGGCTCTCAAGCGTCTTCTACTTATTAATTATGACTGTGTCTGGCGGAACAAGCAAGAAATAATTAATTACGAGCTTCTACGACCCACCTAAACTATCAATGCTCATGATTACCACCGGTTATAAAACCAAGTGAATAAATATCTTATAAAATTATGATAGTGAATCGTCTACAAGAAAAGGGTCCCCTTTTAGAGATATTTTAGTTCACGTGACACAAACTACCATAAGATGTTAGGTTTGTCCTATACCTCATTTGTGTATTCTCTTTTTTACAGATGAGGGTGTGTACAATACGTACGTATTAGACTCAGATTACAAATCATGGGCACTGCTCATGCACTGTGCAGAACAGAGCAAGAGTCCTCGATACTTGTCCAGTTTCATCATGAGTAGACAACCGAGTCTCGGAGCTAACGTTATTTCTTATCTTCGTGAAAAGTTACCCAGGTGGATAGCAAATATAGTAAAATTCATTTAATTATGGGAAATATGTCTAATATTATATTTTTACGCGAAGGTACGATATCGATCTGGAGTATATGTTCCCCATGGATCAGCAGCAGTGCAATAAAACGGAAGCTTCGGAGCTAGATCTGATAATTCCACCATCTACGATGTTCAGGAAAGATTACGCCTTGCGAAAACACCCGTTAAAGAAGAAACATCGACGTCTTTAAATCGAATTTTTCTATTATTATTGTCGATAGGAGGGAGTTTAGTGTGTTCTGTTCATCGCTAGAAAATCTTTTTAAAAATTGCAATTCTAAGGAGTCGTTAAATTTTTCCTGACACCTATCGAAAGTAAATTGCGAGCATATTGTTAAATTTCTGGCACATCGATTGAATATATCTCAAAAAACGCAACACACGATGTGATAAATTATGCGTTTACGCTATAATACTCACACATTACGATCAGGCTGTTAGGAATGATCACGAACTAGTCTATTAAAATATAAAGTACCCGGGTATCTTAAAGTTCAGATATGTATATGATTCGAGCGTGTGTTTATATAAATAAACTTGTGATTGAATTATGTGATTAATTTAGGTACTTAGAAGTTTAAGATGTAAAGAGTATGGCATACTTCGAGTCATAAGAAATGCATTATACGTAGCTATTAACTAGATTGTGACCTCACAGGAGCTTAAGACAGCAAGTATTTAAGTCATAATTAGGATTGCTGATACGATGAGACGTGAACTGCGAACAAAATATAGTAAAAGTTATTCATTCCTTATTTTCTTTCTACAAAGTGTTCATATTCAACCTATACTTGTATTAATAAAATATACAGTCGAATTGTAACATATTATAAATCATATAAGAAAAGTATTATTGAAATATATTATTGAATTAATCCATATTTTCTAACTGGATCTTCCCTTGTATTTATATCCCAAATCGCTAGTAACTTAGTAATTACTTACCTTAAAAAGGGGGAGGAAGTAATTCACAAGTTGGATACCTGAAAGAAAATTAATTATCCGATTTGAGTTATTAGCCCAAAAATCGCATCAGTCGTTGCGAAGAAAATCCTTAAACAGCATCGATCGTCAATTTTGTCTTCGTTTCCCTCGTCTGGTTAATCCTCGTTCTGTAACTAGAAAATTAATAACGTGGATGACCAAATGAACGTACATTCGACACTTTGGGCTAGTTTTATTAATTCAATTAACAACGTGTTATAATACTCTTCGTCTCTTCCTCTTATTTATAATTACATAATTGTAATGAACTGTTATTGTTTTCTTTAGACCCGTCGTCTTTCAACATCTTAGCGTAATTCATTCAAAGTCCACGAACACACACTTGCAGAAGCACATAGGATCATCACGATCATCACCACCACCATCAGAATCGTTATCGTAACAGTCGTCGTCAGATAATCACTCAGCGCACCTAGTACTTAGTTTTTACTGGATATGGCAGCTACAACTTATAAGAAATATTACAAAATCACTGAAGATTCGTCCTTCTTGCGTTTCGATAGTTTCTCACTCATACAACACGAACATACTAGTACGAGCTCCCCTCGAATTTCTACGCGGACGATCCTTGTCACTTAACGATTTCAGACTTGTCTTCGTGTGAATTGGGCCTGTTCGGAACATTGTCGACGTTTCGTGGGTGTTCCGTACGAGTAACCGATAGTACGTGCGCGATAGATCGTTTCTACCGTATCGTCTCGTACACCCTCATCGAAGTTGTCGCGTTCAATAAACGATAATAACGCTCTCGATGATTAATATCGCGTTTTTTGTCGAGTAGGAAGCACAGAGTAAAACGTGTGTGTACACGCGCGCGCACGCGCGTGCGTATGCGTGTATGTGTGTGCGTATATTTTGAGATCTTTACAAGTAGTTGAGCTGTAATCGAACAAGTTCTGAACAAAGCCGCGCGAGTGCCGATCACAATGTTTGATCGCGACTGCAAGAGATTCACACCATACTCGTGCATACGCGCATTCACTCCTTCGTTCTATGGGCTGCATATGCAAATTTTCTATTAGTCTTCTAGTAATTCAGTATTAATTAGTTACACAATTAATTTATTTAATCGCTTGTAATTAATTACCTAATCGTTAAACCTGTATCTCGTGAATCCGCGTTGTTTCTCCGTGTACGTATTCGTGTTCGTGTGTGTGTGTACGTGTTCGCATATAGATGTCCGTGTACGTGTACGTGTGCGTATTCGCAAGCGAGCGTGTAAGCATGTAAGCGTGTAAGTGTATACGCGTGTTCTCCGTGTGCATGTGTTCTAGAATCATTTAATGCGAGACGGTGTTTCGTATTATTTCATATATCTGGTATATCTATCTATTTACTTGAGTTTACGTGTTATAAATATCGTATAGTAAACCGCGTTTTGTTACTTCGTCATTCAATTATGCGCTTTGTACAAGGGTGCAATGCGAACCGAGTGATATTACCAGTTGACGTGTGTACGTGTGTCTCGTGTGTCAACGTAATCGCGGGGAAAAGTAGTCTGGTCAAAATCGGCGTCGATTCTAGGACGTCCACCTAACGCGTGTACCTACGTTCGCTCGAACGGAACTGAAACTGGAAAGAAAAAAGCGATGTCGTTGATCGGTGTGTTTCGATGAACAATCGAGTCTAGAGTAGGTACGTTCTGAGAACGAAAGGAACAACATGAGAGGATATTCGTAGCTGGACGTCGCAGATCTGGGCGAGAAGTTGAACGCAGCCACGTGGAAAGTTTGCAAACGGCGTAAACGGAAGTTAGACACGTCCGAATCGGAGACAAAAGATACGATTACCGTTCAAAGAAGAGTTAGCGCTCGCGCATATACGCGCACGAGGGTTCGTCGAGGACGAACTCCCGTCAGATGTTAGAAGTACTAGACGAAATCGGCGAAGTTTCCCCTACTGCTTAAAATTACAAGTAAACGACTAGTTGTCGATAGTCCAATTTCCTTCAAACTCGAACAAACAGATTGACTATTACGATGGGATTAGCGTTTTAGACTATCGAACAGCGCTGCCCTAGTATTTTTTTTCATTTCGTGTAAATAGTTACAAGAGAGTACGATAGGAGGCAATAGTAGGTTACGAATAGTCGATTGACACAATTTTGGAATAACGGTACAAGCGTGTCCACTCGGTCAACATTCACGAACAGCACGAACGACCGTTCCCTTTTGTTTCTAATCCTCTTCGGTGTAATTCTTCACAGGTGTATCGCGGACTGTGCATTTTTCTTTTCATTTTATACTCTTTGGTAAATACTCCCATTGTATTCCATCGTATCGCTACGTACGGATCGCACAGGGTGACGAATACTGTGATAAATTCGTGTCCGCGCACTAACGTGGCGCGAGGAATGTCTTCGAGAAATGCTAAAGAAAATAGCGGAATAAACAGAGAAAGAGAGACAGACAGTGAGAAAGTAAAAGCAGAAAGGTGGTGAAGAGAAAAAGAGAGAAAACCATGTAATCGTAATAATCGCGAGGAGACTGATCCGTTGTCGATTACGATTCGTCGATTCGTATACCGATACCGTTCGAATAAGTATGTAGTTTTTTTTTCTTTCAGCTTCGAGGAACGCTGATTAACCTTACGCATCGAAATCGAAAGTTGTGATCTCTGCTTTTTGATTGTCGTGTTCTGCGTCCCCCCCGGGGGATCCACATCGTTCAAGCTTCGTCTCTTTCTCCCCAGGCGACGGTGATAGCAATGATAATAGTAATAATAATAATAGTAGTAATGCAGCAGCAATGATAAAACTTGATGAACACACGGCCAAAGTCACGCGTTTGCGTCGACGTCATGCCAGAAATCGGTCGAAGGATCGACGGCAAGTTGTATCATTCGTTTGTTCGTTCGATTGGTCCGACGTGTATATACGTGCCTGTCTGTCCCGAATCGGCTACGACCACGATCTGCTGCGAGCACCGCGAGTTCGCGCGGCCACGCGCATACGGAGTTACCATGGTCGCAGCGAAACGATCGCAATTGGACCGGTCGTTCGGTGAATAGCGATCCGACGATCATTGTTTCACATTCGACGAGCCGTTGCAATCCGCGTTGGTGTTGTAACGAATTGGCGTGGTTCGCTGTCAGTAGACCCAGGAGACGGGTACCCACTGCGGTGTCGTGTGGACCCGCTCAATAGCTGCCTCTAATTGCGCGATCGTCTCCTCGATGTCGTTGTTCACGATCGTCAGATCGAAGAAGTGCCCGTACGCCTGTTTCAGCGAATCCGATTCCTTCGCGAGCTTCTCCAGGCTCCCGTCGCACTGAAAATCAAATTCCAAATCGTTTTCAACCATTCGAATTTGGACTTCCAAACAGTGTTATTGTCGAACAGCTTAGGACATTCTTTATTCTTTGTTCCTTTCAAATATCAATAGCACTGCCTCACTCGACAATAGGAAATTTACATACATTAAAGCCATTTACGCGACGCACACAATAATTAGTTTTCAAGGGGTATTTTGGGCCAAAAATGGGACTTAAAGCTTCAGAAGGACTGACTCATACGGGATGGGCCAGCTTCGATTTGCCAATCAAGACACCTCTCATAATTGAATTTTTGGTAGGTAGGTTTAGTGTTAAATTACGTTTCAGCTTGCACCAAATGTTAGCTCCTATAACATATGTATACAAATACGTATATGTATAAGAATACGCGTTCGTATAACTAAAAGTAACGTGTATTATATTCAACAAATAAACTCAATTTATGAAAGGGTTCGAGCACAAACGAAATCCAAAATATTATGAATACCTGTTCAACGCGGTAATGATTCTTAAAATGAACACGTGATTCGTAAGTTGAACATTTCTATTCTTTCCAACTGAGAGGAAGATTTCCCTTGGGGTCAGTGAAAAATATTATCATCTTCATGTATATTAGAAGACTTTGTAGAATTAAAACTTGGTCACTATTCTTTATGTTGCAGAAAGTCGAACGTAGAAAATTTGTAAATTGTAATTCAAACGTTGAAACTGCTGTTTAGACGACTCCAGCCACGCGAGCTGTTCTACGTATTTTAGTAGCTTGTGAATTTCCAATTAATCGGAAGTGTCGAAGCCTCGTGATCTCGTCAATAGTTGATTAATCGTTTAACTAGTTAACCCCGTGGTAATAGTTAGCCCCATTCCCAGGAGGTTAGCGATCAATGACTGAAACTTACGTCGGTAATATTCTGGAACACCGGAGCAGCGATGAAGACGACGTAAGGCGCAAATTCTGCCGTGCGTAGCACTTTCAATGCTTGCGGTTCGACATCCAATATCGCCACCCTCCCCTCTTCATGAATTGTGCGAATCGTTTCGAGCTTTGTTCCGTACATAGCATCTTCGTGTGTACCTGCATGGGGGGAATTAAGTCAGTACAAGATTTCTAATTCCAAATACAATCTGCGTGAGATTATATTTACCGTATTCAAGGTACTCGTTAGCGCCTATGTCTGACATCATTTCGTCGTGCGGTACGAAATAATAATTGCGACCATTCTCTTCATCGTTCCGCGGAGGCCTCGTTGTATCTGAAAAATAAGATTCGAAAAGGTCAATAAAAACAAGGATTGAATTTGCTTGCTGGTTTATAAGTTTAAAACGAAAAATTGTTTATACTCACGTGGAATAGGATAGGCATATTTGTCGGGATGCTTTGCGATAATTGTATTCTTTATATGCCGGCGACCAACGCCGTGTGCTCCTAATAACACTAGTGTTTTTCGCTGGAATGCAGGATCTGTCGCAGAAAATAATGCAAAAATCGTTAATAAAATTAGTTTCCCTGTTTTTTTATTTTAGTAAATAAACTGTTGTCAAAATAACTTACATGGAAGCTTAACGACCTCCTCGTAGGTGACCAGATCCAGCTGGTCGAACACTGCGTTGTGTTTCGCGAGATACTTATCCTTGTTTTGCTTCTTTTTTCGGCCAAATATTGAGCAATTCACTGGAAATGCGAAAAATGTATTAGTCGTACCTGAACCGATAGAGAACAGCTAAAAATCGTCTATCCTGCAAAGGAATAGGTCCTTTTTCATTCAATCGATTCTCTGTAGAGTTTGTTGCTTACGCTATATCGCGATATGTAATTGAGAAACGCATTTTAACTCACCGAGATCGTATTTCATTAGTAAACGCCGATATCAATATTTGTATTCGTTAATCGAGGGACTGGAAGAGTAAATTAATGTAATTAAATTATTAACTTTGTTTTCGGAATTCGTTTCACGGTCTCGATGGGTTAATTCAACTTACTAAAACGTTCTAAAATTGATGATGAAATTATAACATTTGCATTGTTCATGATATTTATTTACATTAAAATTGTGTGATTATTCAACTCTAAAGAGAACGGTATATACAGGTTGTTTTGTGATATGGGAATACATCGCAAAGATGCGATTCAGAATCAAGAACCAAAGTTAAGTGGCGATCTATATCAGTTTTTCACGCGGTAACAATTGTTTAATGGGTCGAAAAGGCTTGAATATTATTCAGACTTTTAAAGACAGTTGCCTCTTTATACTTTGTTGCTTACATCTCAAATCCATTCTCGCAATGTTCGCCGCATATCAAGGCACACCCTGCATAACGATAAAAAATATTGGCCCCGAACGGGTAAACAATATAGTATCGACGATAGAAATTACTTTGAAAACATGTAATAGATGAAAATAAAATAGAAGAAGTAATCAGTATTAACTGCTATGACATTCATAACGCACGTTCCTTCAATTCGATCAAAGTGTAACGTGTGGTAGGCTGTGATTCAAACACTTAGCGGTCTATATGCTAATCAGCATCCTCCTCGAATGTCCGAACAATCAGCATGTTACGCGCAAGAGAAGTAAAGAGCTACTTCGTAAATGTAAATCTCCGTGTAAGCGTATTCTTGTCTAATGGTAAAGAGATTTTCATTCATTCAGCCAGTTTACATAGAAGCCATAACCATAAGGAGGGAGTGGGATTCCCACTGTGTGATGGGCGTTCCAGCAGGTCACAAGATGAAAAGAGAAGGACTAACGGGTAGTTTATGCGTAAATCTTGAAAGTCGGTGTCACGATCATAGCATGATCACGATGAATATGAACGGTTCTACTATAAGAACTTCAAACAATTTATTAAAAATTACCTTTATTTTTAGATAAACTTTGCCTGGAAAACGAACTTTAACATAAACGAAGATTCTCTATCGTTATCTATTGTTTTGACAGTTGTATCTTCCCGATATTAAAAATTATTCTATTCTGTCAAGATATAGCTATTGCACATAAATAATTAAAAACTGAAGCTGATAATCTAACTTCGTCTTCGATTGTATTCTCGAAAAATACATTCGCATGAGAGGCTTTAATATTTAAACTTGTATTTTATTTAAACATACTGCTAAATTTAGAAGCAAAAATCGGGCCAGTTCTCGCGGAAGTTCGCCGTTCAATATTTCATCACAATGATGCTGCGATAGTGTGCCTGCGAGTGGAATCGTGTGAAACAAGCGTAAGTGCATGAAACGTAGCGAGAGCATGCATCGAAGCACGCCGCGTGAAAACATGTTCTGTAAAGTAACTTACTGTTCATAGTATTGTACGATATCAAACAACAAAACTACCTCGTCAAAATTCATGGAAGCAAATCTTATACTTTAATTTAGCGGTCTACCTTAAAAACGTGAACTTGTAGTATTGTGCAACTTTTAACTAATAATATTGCACGACGTATCCTGAATCATCTATTTTCATTTCATAAGGAAAGATTTCTAAAGTTCTGAAAGCCTACAATTTTGAAAATATATACAGTACTTTGATAAATAAAGAGCTATTTCATTCCTTAATTTTTAAAAAACAGTAGGACGATAGAAGAATTTTAATTTATTTATCGAGTTACTTGCTATATATTCCCAAAATTTTGTAATTTTTAGATTATTTGATTCCGGAATCTTCCCTTGCTGTTAAGGAGAACATTGTAAGAAAAATCAGTAGATTCGTTCTTATACTCCTCTAATGTGTATATCAGTCGACTATTCAAATGGCATTTGAACAGAAGTTTTCTAGCACTGCAGTTAACTCTATTAGGATCAGAAGGGACGCTAATATCGTGAAAGTATACTCTCTAACTCTAGCAAAGCTAACTCTAATTTCGTGTGCAATTACTATAAACCTCGGATCGTAATAATACCGATCGCAAAGACCTGAAATGTTCATATCTAGCTGCGTGTGAATACATATGTGAAAAAAAAAGCCAGTATTCGCGTGAAATGCTCAACGAGAAGTATCTGAAACGTCTTATGCCAAGTCCAGGTGTTTCGTGACGATGATGTGCACCGAATGATTTGATACGCACGTAAACTGTTTTGTTTTTCGTTACGAGCTATCGAACGTATCGTTTTTGGTCAGATTTAGCTGCGTGTGCCTCTCGTTTCCAGGTGGCTCAGAGTTCCCGCGCTTTTTTGTTTTCTGTCAAAGTAATGGCACCAAGTCGTTCCTCGTGTGTTAGTTTCTACAATGAAGCGTTCCTCTGACCTCCGGTCAAATTAATGCGTGCATCGAAAGCACGGAACGAGTACTTTGTATTTCATGCGGACTACACGGTTCTACGTGACTCTACGCATTGTGTACCTGAAGGCAGAGTCATACCTGTCGAACCGTCGCAGCCTTCGGTGTGAGAAGAACATCCTCCTTCTCCTTCAGCATCTAGCCCCGCACAACACACAACACAACAGGTGTATCACTGCAGCTAATCATTTATCTTCGAACTAACGTTCCTCTTTCTTTTGCTACCGAATTTCTGTTTCAGAAATTTCTGCTCTCTATCTTATTCTCAGACGAACGATTAACGCTATTAGCTTGTTGCATTCGTTTCAACTGTCGAAACCTCTTGGTATTCAAAAGCTGAGTAAACGTGGAATACTCTATTCAGTTTCAGTGTTAAATAGATTTTAATCTAGTAACGAATAACAGCTAAATTTGTGAGTATTTTAGTGTCATTGTGATGTTTCCTTCTTAAATTTTGTGTAAATAAATAACTTCGTAACGATATAAATTTCTTCTTGTATTCTCTGCTAGCTAGTCTTCGAAATATGTATATTTAATTTTTATTTATGGACGAGTTGCTGTCTTCTTTTATGGTACATGAAATTAATTTCTCTTTAATATGACTGTATTACAGAAATGTAATTAATGAGTGATCGAGTGAATACATATTATATTTTCAATTATAACAAGATTCACGTAATTTTATATCTCTCATTCATACTGACTCTTTTGGTGTACGTAAAAGAAATTAATAATAATTTTACTTGGGTTTCTCGTACCACAGATAAGTGTGTATCGACTAAGATAAATTATAGCTCTCAGTTGAACATTTTCTAGCGTCTGATCTTATACAGGGTTAATCTAGAAATAATACCACCTCGTAATTTCTTACAAAGAACCTAATATGCAAATAAATTTCCACGAAACAATCCATTTTCGATTCGCTAGGGTGATCGAAAAATTATGGTCTGTAGTGTGAGTGTAGTTTAACAGAAGGAAAACCTGGAAAGTTCATTCACGGATTATCCTCTGCTTCGAGAACTAATTTGGCACGTAAAGCATATCCGATGGAAATCGTATGGATCGTGATTTAGTCTGAAAACATTTCGGTTAATACAGTGTTTCTATGAAATGTAATGACTGATGTCGATAGAAAATGAAGCTGATATCCGTTCGATCGAGGATTGCAATTTCATTATCCGTAATCACGCGATCCACGACTGAAACTTCCAATTTCGTAATTACTCGTTTCTTTTGAAAAAAAAACAGCACGAACTGTATGTTCCTAGGTAAAAGTGGCTGACATCGAACGATAGTACATGCTCCATTGAAAACCTGCGCACAGCTAACAACACATACACGACATCATATTCACCAGCACATTCGTTTCATGGCAGCAGCGAGACTAGTGGATATCGATCGAAGAATCAAACGTGACAGGATTGATAATGGATAAGTAAGGATGATGGTAAAACACGACGGACGTTTCATTGACCGATCTGAATGTAAGACACAATGCGATCTGCTGGAACCTATAATCATCCTGAACTCGTTCGATGTATTCTTTCCCTGGTCTAATCTCGTGAGAATTAATTAAAACGTCTGCTCCTAATCGTACACTTATTCGTGGAATCAAGTGTACTATTCTTGAAATAAATCTAATCAAGTTCTGACACTACCATCCTTTAGAAATAGGGAGAAATAATTTATACAATAAGTCGTGTACGTATATTAAATCTCGTAATGTATCCCCGTCGAAACAATCTTGGTAGATTCGCAGGAAGTATTCTAAAAAAAAATATTTTCTAATTTTGTTTCGGTGACACTGACGAGACTTTAATCGATCTCGAGATGAAAGTCTCCTCAGAAAAAATTTCATCACGAGTACGTTTCACTTTTTCACAATCGTCTTTCGTTTACGCTGTTTCTCTAAACGCCAAACTCGGTGGACTGCCAGAACAGTTAATGCGAATTGTTTGCGAATGGTTCAGACTCGTGTAACTTTTTACCTTGTTCCTGCTTGTTCTTCTCCACTGCCATGTACGCGATACGTCGTTCCTGAAGTTCAGGCGAAGGTATCAAGCCCGCGGAACCGGCCGCGTTGTCCTTCTGCGCCTGCCACCAATAAGGATCATCCTTGCTAATGATCTGCAAGATGTCGCCGGTTTTAAACGCGATTCCAGCTTGCGCGCAAGGTATCAGCTCGTCCTCCAACGGATCATAGTCAAATTGCGCTCGAACGAAAATCTGTTGGTGCAGAAAAATCAAACTGTAACCTTCGACGAGTATCGCGGAACGCGTCGTACGTTATATTAGTGATTCTGTATGAATTCGGTAAAATGATATTGAAAATTCTCGGTTAACGTCCGAAAGAAGTGTAACAAAAGGATGGCGGGGGAGGAAACGTAAGAACGTTAACAGTGCAGAAACATCGGTTCAGTGGTATCGTTGCAACGTCTGGAAGGGGGGTGAGCGACATCACAATTTCGCACTCAGATCACCGAAATCATTTAGGTTAATAGAGAATCACGTTATATGTAATTACTCGTCGCCCTAAAATACGGGTTGGAACGTTCGTTCTACGATACCATCGATCGCTGTTGTTATGCTACTTACGTCGAGCTAGGCTAGCTATTGCAAATGAATTCGATCACTGCGTAACAAGCGGAAAATGCAACATACGTAAGCATTAGCTATAGTTCTTGCGAAGAGCGGCGTTAAGTATACTCTCGTAAACAAAAGAAAAAGATACGATTCCGAAGTAAATCATCTTTCAAGAATATATAGTCTTCTCGTTCTTCGTTTCCTTCTTGATAGCATGATTTTATCGTTCACAGCAAATAAACAAATGTCCAAAGTTTATGTTCGATGGTGTAAGATGATCAGCGATCGATGCGTAGTACGAATTCGCCACGTTGTCGAAGCATCGTTAAAAACACTTTACGAAAGTGGGCATGCTTGCTTTATTCGTTTGCAATGGACAGAACGTGTAAAGATACATCGAATGTGGCAAAGAATCGGGGCTGGAATTATAGTTCGACGGAAAAGGAGGCGATTTTTTGTATGAAAATAAATTCAAAACGGGGAATAAAATTTTTCGACGACTTCCAAGGTTTCGTTTTTCGAGAAAATCGATTCAGAAGATCTTTGGAGCACTCGTGTATTTTTGGGCGACTGACCATTGCTTGGAAATTCTACTTATTTCTGCATTTCTTAAATATCGAGAGTAGCGTAAAACAGTAATACTGCCATTAATATTTGCAAAACGATGACAAAAGTAGACGTAAGCGATACACTTGTGTCCCAAGTATATTTAAAATCAATTTCTTCCAGAACAGAAGCTTCGTAGGAAAAAGATTCATCACAAATTTTCGATTTATTTTTACACGAATAACCACCCTGTTTTCGGTCGTACTACGATTCCATATTTTAAATTATTTCAAGAAAAATGTTCTTCGCCGTGAATTACGAAACAATAAATTCACGACTTTGTGTGGTATTGGCTCGTTCAAGAAAAGTAAACCTCTGTGAATCCCATTCGAGTACGTCCAATAATCAAAGAACTCGAGTCTCCATTCGTAAAGCGTTAGTTCGATCAGTTCGCGCTTCGAACAATCCAGGCGAGGGTGAAAAAAAGGTACCGAATCGACGGTTTCCAAAGATATTTTAGTCACCACGAATAAACGACCGACAGAGGTGTCATTCTATTTTTTACACATTACAATTTATACACAGATCGAATTGGAAAGTTCGATTACACCAGATCGAAAGTAATACGATCTCGTCGTAATGAAAATCAGTGCAACGATCGTTCATCTAGCGATGCATGTACATACAAGAGTGGTTCGTCACTTTCCGTACAGTATTCTCGGACAATAAGCTGAAAGCACTGGATGCTGCACAGTACGTACCACAGCAGACTGACACACGCACGCACATACGCACACGTACACGCTTGAAAAAGGCGCGATATGCAGATTATGCATTCGGGCACTACGTAAATGTGCGAATAAGAAACGGCGTATGAAGGAATAGAATAATGATGCACAGTGACGATAAGAAGTGCCATCCGACTTGCGCACGCGCCATTCGCAATGGTAACAAGTCGACAATGATTTCGTAATGAATTTAAAGGGACGTGATATATGTGGTGGATGAGGTTCGTGTTCTGTGAGACCCAGCTTTGCACGAATACTGCTCTCGAAATTTTGTTCGTCTCGATGGGTCACGATTTGATTCCACGCGACAAAGATTCACAGCTTCACTGTGAATCGTCATGGATCCCGAACATATTGGTAGCGTTTATATTTGTCGGGGTGAAAAGCGTCCAGTGAGCGGTCGTAGCGCTTATGCGACCAATGTATCGTATACTTCGTGGGTCGATGAGAAAGTCTGTTTGGTTTTCAATCGTTTAAAAGCATTGGAAATTATACGCGATTAAAGAATGAACGATTTCTTTCGAATTAATTTAAGTCCTTTATCAAGTGTAACACTATAAAAAATATATCTCGTTAATAAAAAAGTTATTTTCACACGGTAGTTTTAGATGGCCCGTATGTAACGACACGAAATGAAAATGACAGCACTAAAAGTAGCAAAGCCTAGTCCGCACCAAAGGAAGACTACACCGTGATAGTGTTGGTAATGGAATATGGCGGGTGTGAGGTGTAATAATAAACTGCAAAAACCAGAAAGAAACAATAAAACAAACGTACTTCATGCTGAAAGGCCAAGACTCGGTGGAGAAGGGATGCAGTCGGACGTGGCACCATCGGATCGTTATAGCTTTACATGAAATTAATTTTGTCAATAACGATCCGATGGAAGCGTTACGAGAAACAATAACGACGACACATAATAAGAGTCGGTTAAGTAAACAAATATTGTACAAGATACCTTTCTTGCGTACTTGAAAAACTGAAAAGACTTTCTCACCACCCAAACGGGATCACACGCTATAAAAGTTAGTTAGAATGATTCCTTTTGTTCGGGGTAAATGATTCACGATGACGATGATGTATAAAGAAGGGTCACGATCAATGGAAGATCAGGAGGCTGATATATTCGCACAGGCCTAGTCTCTATGCTAAATATAACGTGATAATTTTATAGTCCCGCAGTCATCTACGTCTCCCAATGACTACGAGGCTCGCAAATAACCACGCTTCCTGGCGATTAACGATCAAAGGATTTGCCGCGAGCATCGTAGCCCCATTGTCCCGTTGCATCGGCAGTAAAAGAAGGACTCTTGGGTGCGTTAAGCACTTGCAAGCGATGGCGAGATAGAGGCAAATAGAGAACACCGTTCTCGTACGTGAATCGCACATCGATCTCGTTTAAACAATATATCCGGCAACCTGGCAAAATATCGGGCGTTACAAAGTGAAGAAAAAACGCAGGATAACGGGATGACAGTCAAAGTGGAGGCCTACTTTTTCTGCGATGGTGTGTTGATGTGGCGGACGAATGATAGTGCAGCTTGAGCCCGGGTAAATTTCGAACTTTCGGGCACAAACGTTTGCATGTACCGGCGAAATAGTTTGCCCCGTAGCCAGTTACGACGTGAGTTTTAACGACGTTAGGCCAATGGAATATTTTAGCCGGTCATCGACGATAACTCGCAACCGCCAACGCGGGTAAATAAAAGGTATTGAAGCTGGTTAGCGTGTCAACCCCTTGCCATACAATAACGTGTCTGACTCGTTACAAGTTCTTGATGTCAAGTTTCACAATCATGAGGCTACTCCTGGTCATCGAGTCTTGTATATTAAAATCAACACATTTTTCGTCGCTATTCATTGTACACAGAAATTTAAACGAAATTAAATAGTATAGGTTTGAAATTAAATCGTATGCCAAGGGGTTAAAAATATCATAATATCATCGTCCGTTTACTCGGACTCAGGCTGCACACGGTAGACAATATGCGTGTGTTAAAACGTAATATATGTATGTAGGTATGTATGATAAACGCATAGCCTTCTAACTACAGCAGTCCAATCACACCAGATCAAGTGGCGGTACTTACTAACACTGGCAGAGGCTTAATCCTGAACAACTAGAGCGTTGAAGAAACAGAAAAAAGGAAGATCGATTAATTAACATGTTCATCAACTTGATCTCAAGCGAATGTTCGAATTCTATGTTCTTTTTTCTTTCCCTTTCCGGTAATCTTTTTTTCTCTTTTTTTTTTGTTTTCTTTTTTCTGATAAAATCAACGATAAAGAACACCTACGTTGGGATGTCGCGCGCGTCAACGCTTCCGAGATTCACGGCGCGCATTGCTGTGACACATGCAGCTTCCTTTCTACCTCTCCTCTCGAACTCGTCGAGCCGGTAACGGTTCGTACCCTCGATTGAAGCCGATTGTACGAAAGTAATCGAGCACGTGGCTATGCGACAGCTAAAAACATCGCCAAGCTGCGAGTCGGGAGAACCAAAGACACGATACGTTTCGTCGTTTCGCAGGAAACATCGATTGTTGCTTGTCGAATCGTCGACGTCAAGAACGCGTCCGACGCGTCACGGGCAAAAAAAAACGGTTTGAAAATTTCTTCGAGATCGTTTATAGACAGTCAGAATCGATTTTCCAAGAAAACGATCGAGCAATATCCGTTTTCACAAGCGTCGAGCAACGTCGCATTTTACTCACGTTCAGAGCTACCGGACATTAGGCGGTAATTTACGAATTGTTTCGGCTGGTCACGGACTATTAACGTTACAATGCGGCCTGTTGGATGGGATCGCTTCGCAGACGCACATGGTTTCGGACTATACAAAAAAATTTCTAACAATACAATCTCTACCATCCACATATAGATACTTCTATAGAAGAAAAGGGGAACATTAAACGGCTGGCGTGTGTATGTGTGACGGTGAAGCATATAAAGACGGGGGGAAAAAAACATCGAAGCCAATTTAGTCGAGGGCCAGGATCAGCTTCACGGCGAAATCCACGTTTACGTACATCATCTATAAACGACACGCGTGAAGCTGATCCGCTGTGGAGTCATTGAGGCAGGGATCCTCCAAAGGTGTTTAGGCCGCACTGTTTCCGCTAAAGTCATCGCGTATAGCTTCGGCCAGCCTCTCAACAATGTCTCGAAGGACAGTGCATGGAAATGATGGTCGAATGGCTCCCCGCGTGCATTGGAAGCTACGTTCTACTTTAAAAGAGAGCTAAAGAGTGGAGAGAGTAGGAACGATTGACGATTGTAATGGAGATCCAGGGACGAGGGAGGATACGATCATTTCTACACAGTGACATAGCAGGTACTGCACTATCGACAACTCGTCTGGTGGACTGACTGCTGCTGACGCTGCTGGGTTCTCTGCTCGATTTCCGTCGAGGACTGCACTCTACCCTCGAATCTTGGACCAGAAGGTTCCCTGTTATGGTCACGATATTCTGGCCCCCCATGTCCCGCAAGTGCACAAGCAAAAAAGGAAGAAAAACAGTACGCGTATCGCAAAGCAGTGGCGTGGAAATGGCAAACTTCGAGCGTCGAAAGAGATCTCCATTTTGAGAAAAATTGCTGAAACTTTGTGTTCGCCGTTTCCAGGCCAGGTAAACCGATAAAGCGTTTAATCCGCGAAAAATTTCCCATCACTGATCGTGGTTTCGTCCGTTCGAGTCGTCCCCACACAAGGGTCAAAGTTGTTCATGCTGACACGACGACGGAGCACAGCGGGCCAAAGAACATATACAAATACCTAATTGGTCCGCGCATACTGCGATTACGTGTGTAGGGGGTAGGAGTTTGGTAATTTACAAGGGATCGTCGTGTGTGCTGGTGGGGGGACAAAGATCGTCAAAAAGTTTACGGCACGAGACACGTAACCGATTTCGCGTTTCTGACAAAACGTAAAGAAGATCTTCGGGCGTTTGAGAAAGAAAAGTTTTGCAAATTCGTCGAGGTATCGCGAACACGGTTGCCGTAAACTAAGAACCATATGGACGTTGATCGGTGCAGAGGGACGACGACACGATTAATCGTGTGCCGGGTACATGTACGTGCGTAAACGAGAAATCGGACTCCGTATAGCGGTTGTCGGCTATGTCTACGACAAACAGAGAGAAGAGAATTCACGTTGGAGGTGATGTGCGACGAATCATGGTGTTCCAGCAGTTCGTGCTTTATTATATCTTCGTACAATGCACCGCCGCAATAATACCGCTGGCTCGTTTTGTTTCCGCCGATGACGTTTCTGCTTTCGCGTGCAACACTACGTAACAGAGAAATATCACTTCCCAGATACAACGTGGTACAATTCGTTTCTTATCGTTATACAGGACGTCCAAACGGTCGAAACACCAGGGGACACCTACGTTTCGCTAGAACGGCCGTGGCGTCCACCGTCGATGCGTTTACTGGGACTTAGAGCGAGACTTAAGCGTTATCTCAAGCGAGTATGCATGGATTTTGGTTTCGTAAAAACAATGGTCGCGGTACGGTGTCTATATACCGTCGGCACAAAACAGGAAACGATCGAGTCGAGCACGAAATCCTCGATGTCAGATTAAATCCTTTATTTTAAATTTAAATCAATTGCATCCGCTAAAACGAGATCGAAAGATATTTTTAGGTTTGTTTTCTTTGTTGTTGATGTGTGCCTGTTTTGTGCAGTTTCGTTCACTATATAGCGTAGTAGAATCGTTAGTAATGTGAAATTAATCGCACATACCAGATAGTCCATTACATTATTCTACTTACATATGTATATATATATAATCGATAAACCTCTAAATTTCGTGTAACATTCACATATACTTCTCTTCGACATATTTTACAACGCCTTACAAAATCTAAACACGCCTTACTAAACGCTAGTAGACACGTACCGAGAATGTGGATAGTTTCGCGGCGTCACTTTGTCGCGATTCCAATTTCTACGTGTCGCGCGATGAAACGGAACGCGAAACCGCCGAATCGAATGTCGAATGGCGCAAAGCTATGTACACGTACAAAATTATGTACAAAACGGGACGTAAACGTCGCACTTGTACCACGAAATCAGAATACAAATTGAACTGTCTGGCCAGGGAATCTCGGTAAACGAAAAATTCTGATTATTTCTCATGCGTTGCTGATTTTTAAAAGGATTTGATACAGCAGCGGTTGGCCTGCTCTCAATTCTCAAGACTGAAATTACAGTGTATAATTACTAACATGAAATAAATTTTATTTACGATTTGGGCCGGATTCGAAAACAGCTTTGCTCGCTGAACCTAGCCTATTCACCCTGTTTCAGTATTCTATCTTTATGTACACGATAATTTTCTCTTTCTACTTGGTAAATAAAAGAAAATAAAAAATAAAATCAATATAGTGTAGTAGGCCATTGCAAAAATTTATTTCGAAAAATAAGTCGTTTAATAAAATGCCTCAAACTGTCAATGTAAATGTAGCTCGTACTTTGTCGTAGAAATAAATTATTACACTTAATTACTACTTTTTATTATAAGTGGTCGTTTAAAAAGTGTGGGGAAAAAGAATGCAAAAATATTCAAACATTTTTCTTTTTACCTTATTACAACCATCGCCGTTTTATGGATGGTATTTCTCGTAAGAACGTCTAAACACAAACACTTCATGCGCTATAAGTATCTAAGAAATGCTGGATGTGAAACTATAACATATGCAAAATTTTAGAAGTATCGTGTAGGAAATGACAAATATTTTTTAAACGTGCAACAGACTTGTTATGTACCTATGATCAACAATAAGTAGTTTCTATTGCGTGAATTCTATCTAATAGTACTATATCGTACAAAACATTTTTCCAAAATGAATTGTTTAATTGTTCGTTATTTTTTCTAAGAAGGGTACAGAACATCGGATCACAATTTTATTTTGTTTACTCGGTGCCCAATTACTGCGTTCCACATTTCCGTTTGCACATTAGGAGGAAATAATTTGCTTCTACGTACATAACTGTGTTTATTAATTAGTGAGGAGCTCCTAAACGTACCTGCACGAAAAAAACGGGCCCAATAAGTTTTCGTAGCACGACAAATATAGTTAAAATAACATTTTTTCTTCCTCGCTGCTTTCGTACCTGGAAATGTATTTTTCATACACACCGGAAAAGGTCGAAGAAAACAAGCGTAGCATAATTTTTACGTAGAGAAAGGTACATATAACGAATCACAAAATTCTGTCGATTCATAAAAACGTTAGAAAGACGTAATTTATGTAACAGAGGATCACAGATAGAAATGTTTGAATATTCTTGCGTCGTTTCTTAGATGATCGAAACAGACAATTTGTGGAGAAAGGAAATGATATTAAAATATTATCTCGATAAAAGTCAAAGGTATATTGAATAGAATAAATAGAGATAAAAGTTGTGCATTTGAGTGTTGGAAATCATGAATTCAGTTCATTTTTAGTGACTATCATTTTCTATATTATTCGAGTAGGCCTTGAGAAGTTCGCCAAATATTATACGAAGCATATTTCACCAACAAAATCTTCATTGTTATCATCTAAACTAGAGAGTGTCTATACAAACAGCTAAGCACGAATCAAATATTGTTCAGTTCTCTAGCGACTTACGAAGTTTCACTAAAATCGATGTGTAACGTTACCTTGTAATTTCCTTATTAGTCTACCTTAGGCATAACACTAACATTCTGTTCTAACTATTTGTTAAAGTTTCTTAGACTAATTTTCGAACGGTAGAAGTATTTTTCAAGAGGTCGTTTCACCCTTAAGAACCGAAAGTTAGCCAATAATAACATTCTGCTTGTATCGAATTAATTTATAAATTAGTAAAATTCCAAAAAAAATCAGAATATAAGATTACTGATATTCGTAATGCACTGTTTATTTTTGCAAATTTAGGTTAAATGGAAAGTGAATCGAATGTTGTTTCGCGTGACGATCGATTGTGAAATTAGCGTCACGATCGAAGATTGCTTGACAGTTTTTGATCACGTATCGCGTGAACGATTAACGTGTTTCAGGTACGAGGGAAGTAGAACGTTTACATTACAATAATTGTTACAGCGATCGTCGTTGTTGCATCCGCATGAAAACGACTGGTCGAACTCCC